GATAGACCAAGAGGGTGATACATTTAAAGAAAAACAGTGGAAAGCATATTTCTCTGTGGAAGTGAAGAATATCACCTGCTTCATGCGGTGGGCCTCTGTATTGAAAGCAGCTATCTAAGATACCTGGACTACCTGGCTCATTTGTGCTCCTCCTGGTTCCTGTAGGCATTTTGTTTTGATCCAAAGTCAGAGTCACCTCTCTGGCCTCATAGCCTAGAGATGTTCTGGACTTACCCATCTAAAAAAATCAATAGATTGTTGCCAAAGGATTGCTATTCTTTTTGAGAGCTCATGCAAGACAGGGGCAGTCTAAAAGAAGTGGGAGCTCTATCTTGGGTAGTGTGAGGGTTTTTATAATAACGAGTATCAACCAAAATTAAAAAAGAAAAAAAATCAAAAACATCAGTTTGTTTATAGGCACCTGGAAGGCCACAAAGGTCTAACCAACCTCTATAGCTCTGCCAAAATGGAAAGGGCCAAGCCAATTTATTATTACTTTTGCATCAACCTTAATGCTTTCCTCCTCTGATCAAAAGTAGGAAGATAAGACTGGGTGTGGTGGCCCACACCTGTAATCCCAGCACTTTGGGAGGCCGAGGCTTGTGGGTCACCGGAGGTTAGGAGTTCGAAACCAGCCTGGCCAACATGGCAAAACCCTGTCTCTATTAAAAATACAAAAAAAAAAAATTAGACGGGCATGGTGGCCCATGGCTGTAATCTCAGCTACTTGAGAGGCTGAGGCAAGAGAATCACTTGAACCCAGGAGGCGGAGGTTGCAATGAGCCGAGATTTCGCCACTGCATTCCAGCCTGGGTAACAGAGCAAGACCCTGTCTCAAAAACAAAACAAAACAAAAAGTAGGAAGATAGCAGATAAGGAGGGAAGCCATGGAGATAATTTGTGTGAATATAGCTTTTGAGTATTTGTGTATGAAGCTGTTTCTTATGATTGTAGGAATAAGAGGTCAGAAGAATGGCATATTACCAGAAATTGAGCTGTGATGGAGTGGGATGGGGGGCTGTGTTGACCTTGAGGTGGCATTTGATAACTGGACTAGGATTCTAGGAAGGAGGAAACCCAAGAAATGGACTGCGTCTCTTAACTCTGTGAACGCTGTTTGCTCATTCACTTCCCTTATCTCATGAGATAGTTACAATGATCAGAAAAGACAATGCATGTTGCAGAATTTTAAAACCATGAAAGAGGCTACAGAATATAGATACTGTCCCAGAAGGAACTTGAGAATCAATCCTCATAGCCAGCCTGTTAGCTGGTTCTTTCTATTCCATTCTTTCTATTCCATCACAGAATCTATCTGGCGCACTAGTCTTCCCCCATTGCTCCGCCTGGGATTCCCATGGGCGCCTCCTGACTGCTCTCCTGGCTTCCAGCCTTGCCACTCTAACCCATTCTCCCTGTGGCTGGAAGAGAGGTCTCTATGAACATGTGACTCGAATCCTCCAGTAGCTTTCATTCCATTAGGGTACAATCCACATGTCTTGCCCTGACCTCTAAGGGGTCCTTCCTGATCTCCCACCTCTGCAGGTCCCCAGCCTTCTGCTCCACACCCCCAGCCTTCAGTCCACTTCAGAGCATTGACACACCTGGCTACAAGGTTTTTGTTGTTGTTTTTTAAATTGTAAAATAACATAAAACATATCATCTTAACCACTTTTAAGTGTACAATTCAATAGTGTTAAGTACATTCACTTTGTTGTACAACCAATCTTCAGAACTCTTTTCATCTTGCAAAGCAAACTCTGTGCCCATTAAATAGCCCTCCCATTCCTCTCACTCCCAGCCACTGGTAACCACCATTCTACTTTCTGTGTCTGAATTTGACTAGTCTAGGTAACTCCTATGTTAGTCAAATCATGCAGTATTTGTTCTTTTGTGACTGACTTATTTAACTTAGTCTCATGTCCTTGAGGTCCATCTATGTTGTAGCATGTGTCAAAATTTCCTGTTTTTTAAAGGCTGAATCATCTTCTGTGTGTGTACAGCACATGTTGTTTATTCATTCATCAATCAATGGACACCTGCGTTGCTTCCACCCTTTTGACTATTGTACTTAATGCTGCTATGGACATGGATGTACAAATATTTTATTGAAATCCGGCCTTCAATTACCCCAACACCCAGACGTGGACTTGCTGAATTATGTGGTAATTCTATTTGTAACGTTCTGAAGAATCATTATATTGTTTTCTGTAGTGGCTGTACCATTTTACATTCACACCAACAATGTACAAGGTTTCTAATTTCTCCACATCCTCACCAACACTTGTTGGTTTCTGTTTTTTCCCCCCTATTTTTGTTGCCAAACTAATGGGTGTGAGGAGATATTTCCCTAATGATGAGTGGCATTGAGTATCTTTTATGTCCTTATTGGCCATTTGTATTTCTTCTTTGGAGAAATGTTACTTTAAGAACTTTGCCCATTTTTTAATTTGTTTGTTTTTTGTGGTTGAGTTACAGTTCTTTGGCTGCTGGTGTTTAAGTGTATGAGGATTTGGTGTGTCCCCACTAAGCTCCAGGAGGGCAGTGGCTATGCCCATGTGGCTCACTGCCATCTCCCAGTGCCCAGCATGGAGCCCTGTGTGTGGTTTTTCAGCCAATGAAGATGCATGTCTGCAGCTCTCAATGGCAGGGGAACACAAGTCTGTGTTTATTTCTACATTCATTCTAGTTTCAAGAAGGATTTCGGACTATGGTCACATCTCTTTGGAACCCTAGTATTTGGGATCAAGAATGGCAGGTGACCCTCTTAAAGGGCTTTAAAATGGATACTCTAAGGTCTTGTCAGGCACTGTTTCACTGATTTTTGGACTGTGCTTGTTTGGTTGAGTATAAATCCAATTTTGCCCAGTAAGGAGGATCTTGATGATGAAACTGTGTTTAGTTATTTTATAATTTCAAAATATGTGGCCACCTAATTGGTCTCTTTATGAAGAAGGCAAGGAAAATGTAATCCTGGCTTCACACGTGGTAGAGCAGAAAGGCTGGGCTGTGAGTCTCCTCTCCCTCATCTTCATGTCTTCTCCTCGGATCTTCAGTGCCTGACGCCCCATCCTGGATCCCAGCCCTTTGGTCTTCGGTTGCCAAGCCTCATCAGTTCTCTCTCCCTGACAGCCCTCCTTCTTCCTTCCTCTCTCTTCTCCTGCCTTGATTCAGGACCTGTGGTTTCTTACCTGGATCACAGGAACAACTTTCTAACTGGTGTTCTTACCTCCAGGCATGTTCACTGCTGCCAGAGTAAATGTTCCAAAATGCAAATGTCATCATTTTCCTGTTTAATTTGAATTCTTCGATGTTTCCACGTTGGCTTCAGGATAAAGTCCACACCCTTTCACATGGCACACAGGCCATGCACAGCAGCCCGCCACTTGCCACGGTGACCTCCCCTCTGCCCCTAGCACTCCAGCCACAGTCCCTGCATTCTTTGTAAATGCTGCTTTCTCTGGCCAGGATGCCCCCCACCAGCCTTCCCTGCCTGTCCCCGAGTTCCAATGCTGTTCTGTTCACTCTGACCATTGAGCAGTTACCCACCTCCTCCATCGTAGCCAGAGTGGGGCCCTTGCCTACTGTGGCTCACCGTGTCTGCCTCTTGGGAGCGCTGCCTGTCTGTAGGGTACATCTGTCTGTCAGTCTCCCTGCTGTACTGTATGTTTTGCAACCAGGAGTGGTGTCTTTTATCTCTATGTTTCAACAGTTAGCTTAGTGCCTCTCATAGAGTAGGTCTTTGTGGAAAGGAAGAGGGAGAGGAAAAAGGAAAGTTTGTCTGATTTCAAAGATCATGTTCTCTCTGTTCTCGCCACCTACCCCCACCCCCTCACCACTGTCCACTGTTATATTCTGCCAGCCCAGGGTGGCTGAGGTTAGGGTGGACTCCCAGAGTGACCCAATCAGCTTGACTGTGTTCCCTGGCCACCCTGAAACAAACTGAGCCTGGCCTACCTTCTGGTAAATGCATCCCAGCAGTGAGATGACTCATGTGTGTGTGACTCAGAGCGAACGCAGCACAGCTGGAGAGCAGCCATTTGCCTGCGGGGGGGGTGGGGGTTGTAGAGAGCAGCCCAGACCCAGGCACATGGCCACCAGGCTTACAGCCACCAGGCTCACAGCCCTGCAGCCTGCTGCCCACTGACTGGAGCAAGGATGCAGATTCTCCTCTGTCCCTAGGCAGCAATAGCAGAGTTTCACTAGATTTCTATACCTGGGATGCTATCTAATTTATTACTATTAAATCATATTTTAATAGGCCACCATTTATTGCAGACTTACTGTAAATTGTTGGCACTGTTGTCAGCAAATTATCTCATTTGATCCTTACAATAGCCCAACAACAAAAATAATAGCAAGTGCATATATGGCACTTACTATGTGCCAGACACTGTTCTGAGCACTTCACATTTATTAATTCATTTAATTCTCACAATAACCCTACTATGCAGGAAATGTTACGCTCACTTTTCAGATGAGAAAACTGAGGCACGGAAAGGTCACACATGGAGATACCTGTGGGTCACATAGGACAGATACAAACTCAGCAGCCCAACTTCTGAGTCCACATTTAGCCCCATGCTGTGCTTTCTTGGAAAGCATTAACCATAGTCCCATTTTACAGCCGAGGAAATTGAGGCTTAAAGAGGTTAGTCCTTTATCCACAGCCACACAGGGAGTGATAGAGGCAGTGATGGAGATTGGTGGTCTCCAACCCTGGATCCTAACCACTGTGCTCCGATGCTCAGACTCAGGAGATACTATTACCATGATATAGCCATGTACTTGGTTCTCCTTAGCTGCCTCCATTGGTGCTTCCAAGGGCTAAGACCAGAGGGTGGGTAGGATTCTAGGGCAGAAACCTCCTTCCGAGTCTGGAGCTATAGCAAATGGGTAGCATTTGATGGCACATTTTGCTTCCCATCTCCTTTCAGTTTTGGGTCCTGGAGTATTTCCTTCCCTCAGGGATGCTGATGGGACTTTTATTACCTCCACAGACAGTGAGACCGTGCACTACCACTATGGCCCTAAGGACCTGGTCACAATCTTGTTCTACATCTTCATCACCATCATCTTGCATGCTGTGGTTCAGGAGTACATTTTAGATGTAAGTGACATGTCTGGATTCTGAAATCAGAAGCTAGGGAGGTGCCTTGGGGTGGAGGACCTGGCCTTGGAGAAACCGCAGCTCTGCACCTGTTCGTCCTTCAACTTCCTTACACTGCTTGGGTCTATTGCCCGGGCTTCCATCACCGCACTTTGGTTTCTGTTCCCTCTCATAGCATCCTTTAATCAGCATATGGGACAGCAGTGTTTATTACACAGAGAAAAAGCTGTGTGGAGATGGTGTCCTTATGGGTCTGTCGCACATAGAGTAATCGGGGATGTTTTCTTTACACGTAGACTGGAGACACTCATCTTGGCACTTTCTAAAAATGCTTACCTTAGACCAGGCACTGTATGCACACAGTAGGCTTACACCAGATAACTTGGATTATGGCCAGCTGCAGACTTCTAACGATGTTCAACCCTTTTGTGGGAAGAAAACAGGAGTTTGAAAACTGCCCAATATGGATACATTTGTATGTTAATATGAGGGGTTTTCTTTATTCTTTAGAAAATCAGCAAACGGCTTCATCTCTCCAAGGTCAAACACAGCAAGTTCAATGAATCTGGACAGCTGGTCGTCTTTCATCTCACCTCAGTGATTTGGTGCTTCTACGTGGTGGTGACGGTGAGCTTTTCTCAGGACTGCTGCAGGGGGAGAGCTCAGACCAAGGGGCGGTTCCAGCTCTGGGATTGCTCATCAAATGACTGCAAAGGACCCCTTACTCCTTTTCTTTTTCTGTTAAGGGGAGCAAATTTCTTAGAACCTTCTTTGCTTCTTAGAACTGAAACTGTGTCTGCATCCTCATGGTGTTGCAGAGAGAGACGATGCCATTTTATAGCTGGAGAGAGTCATCTTGTTCAGTCACCACTTGTTATAGTTATTATACAATATTACGGTAATGATACCATGGAACTATGTAACACTGTATTGTTTTACAAGGCCCTTCTACAAACACTGTCCCATACATGTTCATTCTGATGCCCATGTTATAGATTGAAGAGTTCCAAGCTCAAATTTTGCAATATGCTTGTGGTTCTGTGGTTTTGAAGCAGCAAGGATAGCTTGGAGTTGGAGGTAGAGTTCCAAGCCCAGCTTACCCTTTGTGTTACTATGTTGGCCTTCTATAAATGAGGCCAGCCTCACCCTGTCAGCTCATCAAATGCTGTGAGAGTCAATGCTGTTGCAACAAAATGCCTGTAGGACAGACAATTTATCCACCCCTCCTTTCTACATAATAGGACTCTTATTTCAAGTGACCTTTGATACAGCAAATTCCCTCATAGAAAGGAATGTGGAGGCTCCTTTGGAGTTTGCTGTAACAAGACCCTGACTGTCCTGCTAGGAGGTGTTGGGTTGGTACCCACCACCACCTGGAGCTCTACCTTCCTGTAACCTGGCCCCCGGAGAAATCCATGCCTGGGTCTTGGAAAATTCAGCAACTCTGTGACCTCTGTAAGATTTCCTTCCCGGCCTTCCCCAGATCCCTCACCTTCTTCCTCTTTTCTCAGTGACAGTGATGGGACCTGCCATCACGAGGAACTCTGTCTCTGGAGCTGAATGTTGAATTCCTATTCTCAAAGCTGGGGTCAACATGTCCTTTTTCTACATTGTTTTTATTCCTATTATCATTTCGTCACAGAACAGCTTTCCTAAGCAGAACACTAGGAATTTTAAATGAGGGGCCCAAGACTTCTGTCCTCTCTGGCAAGGCTACTGTGTTTCACAGTCCCTGGGGCAGATGGACACTGAATTGTACATCCCTGCTGTTGTGCTGTGCACGTAAGTCCCTATACTTCTGGGTTTCAGACCACACCCAGTCCCTTGACGTTCAGTTCATGCCCACCCCTAGAGACCTAAGCTGCTTTGAAGCAGAGAAGCCTCAAAATACCCAAGATGTTTAACCACTGGTCAGGGGAAGCGTTGCCTCATCTCTGAATCACTTTTATCCTTTCAACTTCGCCCCCAGACATTACACCCTCGCTGTGACACGTGGGGACCAGATTTGGAGGCTGGAGCCAAGTTGCTTAACACTCCTTCCAGGGTGTGAAAGGCTCAACCGCTCTATCTTTGCTGTTCTTCAAGGACTTGAACATGATGCTAATTAGTTTGAGAGCACATAGGTTTTCTTGGGAGGCACATGGCAGTCTTTTATTCTGGGGAGAGCCAGTTCCCCACTCAACATATTCAATAGGCATGGAGACCAGGGGACCATGGAAAGCTCCGGTGACCCCCAACTGGACTCTTCCTAACAGCAGTCAACTCCTTGCCCTCCTCCATCGGAACCCTGCTTCCGGGTAGGAACATGGTTGAAGAAGAAGAGAGGTAGTTCTGTAAAAGCCATGAAAACAGCTTGTTTTTTTAAATCATATTTTTCTGTTATTATGCAAATTTTTCGTGACTCTTCTTTCTGTCACTCTTATTTCATTGGCAGTTCCTGCCAGCACTGCCTCCCAACTGCACATTTGGCAATCTGCTACTGGTGTCTAGTGGGCAAAGGCCAGGATGCTGTGGTATAGCCTTTAATGGATGGGACAGCCTCCACAGGAAAGAATTATCTGGCCCTCAGTGTCCATAGTGCCAAGGCTGAGAAACCTTGATGTGTATAGTCCAAGCCACCGTCATCTCTTGCCTGGACACTGAATATCTTTTTTTCTAGAAGGAGACTGTTTCTACTCTTGTACCTTCCCATCCCAATCCATTTCCTGATCAGCCAGATCGATCTTTTTTTTTTTTTTTTTGATATGGAGTTTTGCTCTTTCACCCAGGCTGGAGTACAGTGGTATGATCTCGGCTCACTGTAGCCTCCGCCTTCCAGTTTCAAGCGATTCTCCTGCCTCAGCCTTCCAAGTAGCTGGGATTACAGGTGCATGCCAACTCACCTGACTAATTTTGTTTTTTTAGTAGAGATGGGGGTTTCACCATGTTGGCCAGGCTGGTCTGGAACTCCTGACCTCGTGATCCACCCGCCTTAGCCTCCCAAAGTGCTGGGATTACAGGCGTGAGCCACTGCACCTGACCTGGATCTTTTAAAACAGGAATAAAACCATATATTCCCGTCAGTGAAATCATTTTTTCCTCCCCACTCATGTGATCTGGGCCCTGTCAGCCTTGCTGGTCTCATCTCACTGTCTACAACCCCATTTTCATCTCCTCTGCCCTAACATTCCTGGCTGTTCTGCCTCCTGGGTTTTGCACTGGTGGTTTCTCTGCTCAAGGGCTCCATCCCCTGCCATCCTATGGCCAACTCCTTCTTCCCATCCAAGTCTCTGCCTAAATACCATCTCCTTAGAGAACCCCCCATCAATTTGCATTTTCTGCACTGTGCTGGTGCTTTTCTTGTTGGTGTATTCTCTGTCTGTTTCTCCCTCTGCATTCTGAGCTGCTTGCTAGCAGGCACCATGCTGACTACTGTATCCCTGGTACGGTGCTTAGGACGTACTAAGTGCCCACTAAATGTTGGCTGTGAGAATGAGTGAATGAGCTGCAAATGCATCTTCTCTCTCCAGCCTTCAACATTTTTAAAGTAATGAATTGGTTGTTTTAATAAATACCATAAATGATTATTTTTAAAAAGTGAACAATATAGAGAAGTTCACAAAAGCAAATTCTTCCCACCAGAAATAACAGTATTATTTTGGTGTTTGATTGAAACATTTCTCTCGCATATACAGAGGTAGAATAGTGGGAGTGTGGCTGGACCACCAATAATTTTACAGGAATGTCAGCCTCCAACTTTTAATCTACCTTTGCTTGACTATTCATTGTTCAGGGAAAAAGAAAATAGCACTCCAATGGAGAAAGCAGAATGGGTGGGTGTTGGGTGGATGTTTGGTCTTCCCTGTCTGACTTCTTGCCATATCTGACTTCATATTAGACTTAGCAGAGGGAACGTTCTTAACACTGGTGCTTGCACCAGGACTGGTTTCTACGAACAGACTAGTTGCTTTAGAGCAGATTTTTAGTGCACAGTTGTTCAGATGGTCAAATAGTATGAGATATGTCTGAATCTGCATAGCACTTGCCTGTGCTGTGTATGAATTCTGCTGTTTTTGTGGTTCTGTTTGTTTATCTCCCAAAAGGAAGGCTGCTGGGGAAACAGGAGGGATTGCTCCACCTTGTTGAGGCCTTGCTTAGCTCATGAGTGGACTTGTAGAATCAAAAGAGAACAAAGGATTTCAAAAGCCTCTCCAAACCATCCACTGAGGCCTATCCATGGATGGGATTTGGGGTGGGTTTCAGGGGCTTGTTGGGTCACACTTAGCCCCCTGTGGACTCAGGTGCTTTGCGTGACTAAGCTCAGAGGGTGCCCTAGCCCCAGTCCTCCCTCAGACAGCTGCCTGGAGAGAGGTCTGGAAAAGGCTGTTCTCAGAGCAGTGAGTCATTTTTCCTCTGGCTCCCCCTGCTCTCCTCCCTCCACCCCTTTCTTCCTCTAGTCCCAGTGGACTGGACATTCACCAGCAGGCAACATTTTTCTGGGGAGTTTCTTTGCTTGTCGGCTTCAAAGTTCTGACCTCTTTATCTCTAAGTAAGAGGCCAAGCCAAGGAGTGTTCCTGTTTAAAATCACGAGATTGTCTGGGCTTTACATTGCTCTCAGTGCTGCTTTTCTTGGCGAGTGCTTTTTTTTTTTTTTTTTTTTTTTTTGGCAAAACTTTCTCTCCCACCTCAGTTTCAGAAGTACTGTTTTTCCTGTTAAGTACATTGCTGCTTTCTTTAGGAAGAGACATTCTCACCTCTCTGATGTCACTGGAATGAGGTAGCCTGGGGCAGGTATGTGCTGACGAAGGCAGGTGTGTGCGTGACAGAGAGGGTGGGTGGAGATGATAGAGGCAGTGTATTTGAAAGAGCTCACAACTGTCACCACCTCACAACTGTCACTCACACGGCACACCTGAGTACCTCGATTCTTCCACTTGTATTCCTAAATCTGCGCATGATCCAGGGAGGAGACAGGAGGGCAGTGGTTGTGAGAAGTGAGGCCATGCAGGTTCGAGGTAAGACAGTTTCCTTCTAATCCAGGTGACAGTGACTACAGTAGTATACATGTATCTGATTGGACCTATCAATTAGGTTATTGTGCTCATGGAGGCCCAAGTTTATGGGATTAGGGCTGTGGACTTTACCTGAAGGGCATACTGATAGATCAAAGGGCATTCACTGACTCAAAAGTGATTGGATCAGCCCTCACTTGGAAATACAACTGAAGATCCTAATGGACAATAACCTAGAATGCTTGTTACTCAACCCTATTGGCCTCATTCTGAACACTGCACAACCTCTGCCCTTAATCCCAGTGTGAACATTTGAGATTCCCAGCCTTCTCATCAAAACTACCAGCTCAGTTTATTTTCTGATTTACTGAAACAACCTAGCCTGAAGTTACTAGACCAGAAGGTTCGTGGCCCAACTCAGATTTCAGCTGTGCTACTGAAAAACTCTCTCATTTCAGGAGATCTGTCCTATCTGTTTCTTCATTTTCCTATTTCTAAAATGAGGTCATCCTAATGTAACCTGCTCTGCCTTCTCTGAGTGACAAATAAGAGCCCTTTCTTCAGAAGAGAGAAATTGCCTAAAGCATTCATCATTTGTTCAACCAGCTGCACTACTGTAGTGTCAACTGACTCGTGCTTGTGGTAGATTGTTTCTTCATGCATTTTGTAATCTTCAATTACAAATTCATCTTTACCAAGGTTTTATCTTTGGGAATCCTGAGATCCTTGGATGAGGGTATGTCCCTAGGGTATCGCTGGCCCACCACACTATTAATACTAATTTCTTAGCTTGGTGGATTTTGGATCACACAGGTGGTATATCTCAACTCCAAACTCAGAGTGAGCCTGAGGTTGCAGATTTTTAGAATAAATGATTTTGTTTTCACCTTGAGTATGGGCTGAGCAGACATCTTCATTTCCCTGTGTTGGTCAGCAAACACTTTCTAGTCTTTCCTTTCTCTGAGGTTGTGGTCTTACAGAGGGCCTGATCTTATACAAGGGTCTCAGGTTCCACCTCCTAAAGCACCATCTTCTGTTCTCACATGGGCATAAAAACCCTGGCCCTGTGAGTAGTGCCTTCTGGGCTGCTACAGTGTCACCTTACTGCTCTACCTTTTAACCTCCTTCTCCCTTTGGGTCCCAGAGGGTTTCCCTTTCTTATTGTGAGCTCAGCTTTGCATTTTAAAGAATATTCATTAGATTTCATCTAGCATTTCTAGATGTTTTGTGATGGGATGGTATTCATGTTACCTCCTCCACCCCATATAAGGTGCTGGGCTAGATGTTAGAATTCTAAAGGTGGGCAAGAAAAGGCCCTAGTGTGAAGGGGCTTGCAAGAGTAATGGAAACAACTGGCAGTAGTGACAGTGTGGTGGATGTCAGAGGTCAGCTGCGTGGTGAGACCTGCAGGGTCCTGCCATGCTTTTTATTCAGTGGGATGTGAAAAGCCCAAGTAGACTCTTCATGTTTCCCATGGATGGTGATTCTGGAGTTCATTGGCTTATTCATTATAGCAACATTTTCTAAGCGCCTGCATGCCAGGCACAGGGCTAGACCCTGGCACATAAACTATCCCATTCATTTCCAACAATAACTTTATGAGGGTGGATATTTCTATTTCATTTTGCAGATGAGCCAGCTGTGATGTAGGGAGACTAATTAGCTTGCTCAGAGGAGCTAGACTAATTAGCTTGTCAGACTCATCTTCAGATGCAGGTCTTTAGACCTCAGAACACAGCCCTTCCTACTCCAGCTTCAACAACAAAGAAACCAGCCAAGCACCAGGGGTCCCACACAGAGAAGTTCTCTGTTTTCACATTTCCTGTTCCTTCCTCTTTCTGTCAGGTGGGGGCTGGATGCATCCCCGACCCCTGGACCAGTCCCAGGGCCCCAGCAGATCTCACGTCCACATCTCTAAATGGTATCTCTTCTCACCCACTGCAGGAAGGCTACTTAACAAACCCAAGAAGCCTCTGGGAGGACTACCCGCATGTGCACCTCCCGTGAGTATTCTCGTAACTCAGCCCCAGGGAGGAGTGAGCAGGTCCACTGCCTTCCCGTCCCAGAGTGTGGCCAGAACACCATAGGCCCCGCTGACCTGACGAGCAGATCATGCCCTGAGCCTATTGTGGATGATAGACTTGTTTGGAAGCCACTGCTTCTCAGCATGCTTGACCGGAGAATCCCAGATGAAAGGTCATTTGTGCTGGCTCCCATCACGGAGGTGTCTCAACTACACGAGACAGATAGAAAGGTGGAACATCTCCCTCCATAACGTCCCCTGACATCCACAGAGCGTCTTTCCTTGCGGCCTGCCATGGCTGGTGCTCCAACAGAGCCAGCGTCCTCTGCCTCTTAAAATGCTTCCAAGAGAGCAGTTTACCCCAAGGGCAATACCTGGGCCCTCAGGAGGCTATCCTTTGCCTTTCCTGAGATCTTTGTTTTTTGTTTGTTTTTGAGACAGAATTTTGCTCCTGTTGCCCAGGCTGGAGTGCAGTGGTGCAATCTCAGCTCACTGCAACCTCCCCTTCCCGGGTTCAAGCTGTTCTCCTGCTTCAGCCTCCCAAGTAGCTGGGACTATAGTCAAGTGCCACCATGCCCAGCTAAATTTTGTATTTTTAGCAGAGACAGCGTTTCCCCGTGTTGGCCAGGCTGGTCTCAAACTCCTGACTTCAGGTGGTCTACCCGCCTCGGCCTCCCGAAGTGCCAGGATTACAGGCATGAGCCACCATGCCCAGCTGCCTTTCCCGAGACCTTTAAGAGCAACAATAGCAAAGGACGTAGGGCCGAGTTAGAACTTTCCCTTGCTACTTAGGGCCATTCGTTGTTCAGTGTATTTGTTGGTCCTCATCTCCATCAACAGTGCTCTGTAATCTGCTCCCTTTTCAAGGCTGAAGGATTCCTCCTTCTCTACACTCTTTTAATCATGTTTGTTTCTTTCTGTGGACTTTCCGTGTCCCTTTAAGTGGTCTTGTATGTGGAACAAGGGCGCGGGCCAGCAGAGAAGCCAGGGTCCCAGGCTCGGGGGCTGCGGTCACCGGCCTTACTCCCTTGCTCCTGGACCAGCTCCTCACAGGCAGAATCTCGGCCCATGCTTTTCCCTCCCATGCCTGGCCAGCGCCTGCAGGGATACTTTTCTCAGTCCTGCCCGTGTGACTTGCCCCCTTGTCTCCAGCTTCCAGGTGAAGTTTTTCTACCTATGCCAGCTGGCCTACTGGCTGCACGCACTTCCTGAGCTATACTTCCAGAAGGTACGGAAGGTGAGTGCTCGCTTCTCCCCCTTCTTGGAGACCATTCATTCACCACTCCTCTCCTGCTGTTCCCATTGGTGCCTCCCTTCCTTTCCTCCAGAAGCGTGGAGTGTTGGGTGGTGATAGGAATATGTTGGGGGTTGAGCAGCATGCTGAGTCAGCTCTTGGAGAAGCGCCATGTAGGCCCCCATGGGTGTTGGCCACCAGTGTCAGTTTCTTGCCTGCCACTTCCACCAGACATACGGCTTTGGAGGAAACCTAACTCTGATCTTCTAGATGTCAAAGGAGAGGTCTTTGCCATTTCTGTGTTTTTATTTTTGCTTTTTATAATTTCCTTCTGAATTATTTCCAAGAGCCTTCTTCCCCAGTCCCTGTCTCTTCTTTCTCAATCCAAACCTTGCCTTCTGACACTAGACCCAAGGCTGCTGAAATTGGGAATGGACCTGACTACCCTTGGAATTTCAGCAGCCTGATGCAGTGGGACTGTGGGACTCATGGGACAGGTTGGACATGAGAGTGTGTGTTAAAGTAGCCAGAGGGACCTGGCCCTCTCTCATCCCCCTTGCACTCCCCTTGCTCATTTTTTTCAATCTTTAGTTGGGGAATTAGCAAATTTACGATATGCTTCTCTTGTTTCCAGGAGGAAATTCCCCGCCAGCTCCAGTATATCTGCCTGTACCTGGTGCACATAGCTGGAGCATACCTCTTAAAGTGAGTGAGACCATGGAGCCAGCCAGATTGCCTTGCCTTTTATGTCCATGCATCTATCCACACAGTCATATAATTATCAGGCCTTTATCGACACCCTCTGTGTGCCTAGCAGCATGCTAAGACTTGGCAATACAAAGATGATCATGGAAGATTCTTTATCTTCAGTGATTCATTCTAGCCTGAAGAGACAGTCATAGACATAGATAAGGACAGTTTAGTGTGATGAGCCCCACAACACGGTATGTATCATCTGCTCTGCAACCCAGAATAAGACCCTCAACAGAGAAAGCCAGAAGACTTCCAATGGATGTTGGCCTTAGAACCATGGCTTTGCCGCTTGAAGGCCTCCCAAAGCTGGGCTCTTGGGTCACGCATCCGGTGCAAACACTGCTGGAGCGCGCAGCCCTGGAATTCCCTTCCCTTTGATTTGTAATGAGATGGAGACTAGGTCTCCATTGGTTGTTCTAGAAGCAGAAAGAGTTGCTATAATGTTTTCGAGAGCTTCTTTTATCAAAAGAATGATATTGATGTTATTAAGCTATGTCATTGACAATTTGGACGTTTGCTGAGCTTTATCCATGCAGTAAAGGAGAACGCCCTGCACTTTCTCTAGGCTGGCACTTAGAGTGGCACTCAGACAGCTCACTGCGTGGAACTTTTTGCAGAGGTGCCTGGAAATCCCGAGGCGCGTTGTCTCCTAGGTCCTTGCAGCAGGCATCCTGTGCGAATGACTGACTTGGATTAGTAAGATTCAGGCAGGGAGGGAGCTCTCAAATTCTGTCTCCTGTCTCTGGAGGCCTGTAGCAGCATCTTTTCCTGGATGGGTCTTTGAGGGCTGAAGGCTGTATGGTGGTGCCAGCTCTGCCCTGGTGTTGGATGCTCATGTGTCACATGCATAGTGGGTCTGAGAAGTCAGTCTGCACTGTCACCGTAGCAGTAGCAAAGAGCGGGGAGAATGTACAAACAGAACCACACAGAAGGAGCACTTTCTGCTTCTTTATGTATCTTGGAGCTGTGAAGACTTGGACAACGGAAAGTCAGACAAGAACACTTTATATTTCTATACTCAGAGCTCAGCAAATGTGTCCTGAGCACCTTTTATGTACTTGGTTCCAGCCTAGGGGATGAGTGCAAGGTGCTGAGCACTGTGAAGGGCTGTGCCAGGGTTGCTGTGGGAGCAGGCAAGGGCGTCTGACCAAGACAGGACAGCTGAAAGGCCAGGGGGTCGGTATTAGGAAAAACGTCTTAAAGGTGTGACAGCTGAACTGAATCCTAAAGGATGGGGCAGAGCTACCCAGGGAAAGTGGGAGTGAGTGGAAAACAGAGCCCAGCCAGGCACGGGACAGCCTGAGCCAAGATGCGACAGCCTCTGCTCCATGCGGCATCTTGGAGGGAATGTAAGACTAGTCTTTTTCCCCCCAGCCTGAGCCGCCTGGGTCTGATCTTGCTGCTGCTGCAGTACTCAACTGAGTTCCTCTTCCACATGGCTCGACTCTTCTACTTTGCAGATGAAAACAATGAGAAACTGTAAGTGGGGCTGCTGGAGGCTGGTCTGCTCAGAGGCCTGAGCAGGGCTTCCCCCTGAGGCCTGGATGGGTGGAGGGTCCCTCCCTGGGTGCACACTGCCCGCTTACCTGCAGGCGGTGCCCTCATGTTTTTTTTCTAGAACATCTGACTTTAGATACCTCATTCCTCAAGCACTTTCCCCAGCCACCCTTGAATCCTCTTTCCACTTGGGGTCTCTTCTGGAGAAGAGAGTAAATGTTCCTTCAAGGGCTCTAAAGACTGACATCCCTCTTCTGCCTCTGTGAGCAGGTTCAGTGCCTGGGCTGCTGTTTTTGGGGTTACCCGCCTCTTCATCCTCACCCTTGCCGTGCTGGCCATCGGCTTTGGATTGGCTCGCATGGAAAACCAGGCATTTGACCCTGAGAAAGGGAACTTCAACACTTTGTTTTGCAGGTGAGTCGGGCAGAAGTCCAAGGTGATAAGCCAGGGCTTCCTGGGTACCACAAGGGGCCTGCTGAACTTGACACAGCCTCTGCAGAAGGTCTGGAGGCAGCAGACCCTTTAGTCTCCCACATGTTATTTAGCTGGAAATCTCTGGATATCAGGCCTGAGGGAAGAAGAGATAGTAGCTTCTGTTTCCATCCAAACCATCTTCACCCCCTGGCCCTGGTTTGCTGAGACTGCAGTCCAAATAGGAATCCCTCACACTTGTCTGGCACTTCGTGCCACATAGAGGCATCACACCCAGTCTCTCAGTTGATATCATTCTCCCCTTCTTCTGTGTGGGTGCTAAAACCATGTGCTCAATGGCTTGGCCAGTGGCCTTCAGTACCCGTGAGAAGGCAGTGAGGAAGCCACTGTTTCTCAGATCTCCTAGGCCCAGGAGATTGATTTGTCCAGAGTTGCTCCACTTTTAAGTAACATGCTAAATGAGAAGCCACTCTTCAGAAATTCATTTGAATTCTACCAATATTTGTGGAGCTTACATTAGTCATGTTCTGTGTGATGGGTGCAAAAGAGACACACGGAGCCCTCCCTCAGCATGTGAGTAGCATGATTGTAGAACTGGCTGTATGTCCATCACCACTTCCTTCCCTTCTCCCTGACACGTGTGACATGTGCTGGATCAGAGACTGACTGAAGCACGCACTCTTCCTGGTGATAGTAGCAGTATTGGAGAGGGCCGAGATAAAGGTGGAGGTGATGAGCCATGGGAACTGCAGGGCCCCCATCCCCGGTTCTCCCCGGCACTACCCAGCCCCAAGGCTGTGAGCCCAAGCCCCAGCCTAAGCCCACCCCTCTGCCCCGCTGCAGGCTCTGCGTGCTGCTGCTGGTGTGTGCCGCCCAGGCCTGGCTCATGTGGCGCTTCATCCACTCCCAGCTGCGGCACTGGCGGGAATACTGGAATGAGCAGAGTACAAAACGGAGAGTCCCAGCTACACCCAGACTACCAGCCAGGCTCATCAAGAGGGAATCTGGTGAGTGCCAGGGCCCTTGGCAGAGAACGGAGCCAGGGAAGTCTGTCTGGGATGGGTAGGAGGAGCCAAGGCGATGGGCTTCTTGGGCGCTCCCCAGACCAGACCTGCCAGCTTCTCCTTCCTCAGGGCTGGGGCTCCTAGCTCCCGGACTAGCACGTGGCTGGGCTTGGGCCAGGGACAGACTGTGGATGGGGCTGGCCCTAACTAGGCTGGGAGCCCTGGCCACTGTGGGGCAGGGCAGTGGCTGGGTGGGGAACTCTGGCAGGAAGCGTGTCCTCAGGGTGGCTTCTGGACCCCAGCCAAGTGCTGCTGCTGCCGCCGCCCATTCTCGGTGCCGGACGGCGGCTATGTCCTCACCTGCCCTTTTGCTCTACATCTCAGCCTGCCCTTGCCTCCCAGCTTGCTGGAGCCTCCTGTCTCCAGCAGTGACTCACAGTGACACAGTGCTAGGTGGGGGGCAGGGGTGGGACACCCCCCTCTCCTTTGGCCCTGCACGCACTCCAGTCATCACCCACGTTCAGCAGGTCTCCAGGCCCTGCCAGCCATGCACGTTCTGCCCAGCCTGGGGGCCTGTCTGCACCAGGCGCTGCTTTCTGACTCACCTGCTTTTCTCCAGGCGGCCACCTGCTTGGCAAAGGTTCATGTGTTTGAACCAGACACGCGCGCAGCTGGGTGTGTCACAGAGTCAGGCCTGGCTGGCGGGGGAGGCATGGAGCATAAGACTGCAGCTAGTACCTCTGACTTTGAGCAGGCACATAGAGGTATTTTGAACAACAATAGAAAGAGCAGTTTTTCTGCCAGAGCAGTGTCAGGCATCCTCCCGAGGCCTTATTCCTGCAGCCTCTCGTCTCCCTCCCTTCACTTGCCACTGCTCCTTGGAGTTCTTGCGGAATTGGAAATGGGCTGACACCTTGCAGGGGCCTGAGAGGAACTGAGGACAGTGGGACTGGGACAGCATCTAAGTGATTCCGGCGCATATCTAGCCCTGGTCTCAGGCTTGGGCTGGCTGGCCTCTTGCTGTTGCTGTGTTACCGTGTGTCATCCCAGGCCCCTCTTGCTAAAGGGCAGTCATCAGAGACCAAGCCTCTCAAACAGGGCCCTGGGGAAGACAGGACCCCCCTGGGAGCTGTCTGCTGTGTGCGGCTGCAGCCCGCACCCCTTTGGTGCATCCACATGTAGCAGCAGGGCTACCCGGTCCCCTTTCTTGGCCTGGCCCCACCCTCCCCTCTCCTACCTTAGTTCCAGCAGAAACACCATGTACGCTTGTCTCTCTCCACTTCCCAGGTTACCATGAAAATGGAGTGGTGAAGGCAGAGAACGGAACCTCCCCACGGACTAAGAAACTCAAGTCTCCCTAAGGCCAAAGTGCTAAGAACAGGAATCCTCTTGGTGGGGGCCCAGCAGGGCATGAGGAGCCCAGGCCCCTCCCTCCCTCCTCCTTCCTGCCTGTGATGCTCCGTCTCAAACAGCCAAAACCTGTCTTTCAATGGGGGGGTTTTCTCTTTTTTTCTTCTTGGCTTTCTCTTCTGCCACAAACCATTCTCAATAAAGCCAAAAAACTTTCTCTTTCTCCCCTCAGGCCACCTCCTATCTTCACCCCTGTCCCGTGCTGGCTTTTCCAGAAGCCCAGGTTCTCATGGCTGTCATCTTTCTGCTTGCCTCTGTCTCTGCCCTCACGGCTGCTTTTTCTTTTTACCTCCTAATTTCACCTTATCTTGCCATTTTTCTGTCTGATTTTTACAATGGGAGGGGAGCTAAGATTGCAGTCCTGTTTGTCGGTCCCCCAGGGCCTGCCGGTCAGAAGCCCAGGGCCAGTAGCAGGCCCTCGGTGGTCCGCGTGTGGATGGGCAAGAAGCAGTGAGCGCGGCCCTCTCGGATCATAGTCTCCTTGGTGCTGATTAACTGACGAGAGAGCTGATTCCAGCCCTGCACGCACCATCTTGAGGCACAGCAGCCACTGCTCGTTGTATGTGCCAAGGCATTTGGCTTTGGGACGTGACAACTCAATCCAGAAGGATGGTGTGAACTCAGTTGGGTCCCGTGACTCAAGCGCTTACCAGTGGCTGACTGCGGATGGGAAGCCAGCCTGCTGTCACTGTGTGGGGGAGGTGCCGAAGGAGGATGAGTCTTCCCACTGCTTAGAGCCAGAGCAGAGCAAACTGCGCAGCAGGCTCTTCCAGAAAGGTAATGGTGGCAGAACCCATGGAGGAGTCGACCCAGGCCTTTTTCCAGCAGTCCCAGCCGCCGTTGCTTTTTCAGCCATTCACAAGCATTCAAAACCAAACCAAACAGCAGTTCACAAACCTGCCTGAGATATGCTGGTCCTCACCTGCAGAGCCAGCCAGCCCTGTCAGGGGCCAAACTTACTACCTTGACTTCATCTCTAGCTGCAGAAACACTAAGCCTCAAGGGCTTCAGCCCCATGCTGGTCACTTAGACCACTGTCCATCTGGCCGCCCTTGTTGAGTGTTCTTTGGAATTGTCGTTTGTTGAGCACAGCTACAGCATTTTAGACTGCATGAAACCATGACTGACTGAGAATCACTCTCTGGGTAGATAATAGGTGCCTTTCTGGCCCCTTCTCCCACAGATTCTTTCCTCTCCCTTCCACCTACAGACAAGGCCTCCAAGTCCTTATGGTGCCTTGTGAGGACTTTTAGAAGGGGCGTTCAGCTTTAAAATGGTCCCAGTTAAGGCCAGGCGTGGTGGCTCATGCCTGTAATCCCAGCACTTTGGGAGGCTAAGGCAGGTGGATCACTGAGGTCAGGAGTTCAAGACCAGCCTGACCAACATGATGAAACCCTGTCTCTACTAAAAATACAAAAAATTAGCCAGGCATGGTGGTGGACATCTGTAATCCCAGCTACTCAGGAGGCTGAGGCAGGAGAATTACTTGAACCTGAGAGGTGGATGTTGCAGTGAGCGGAGATCGCACCATTGCACTCCAGCCTGAGCAACAAGAGTGAAACTCCATCTAAAACAAAACAAAACAAAACAAAACAAAACAAAACAAAAAGGTCCTAATTAAGAACCTCTGAACTCTGTCATGAGATGAAGTGCAGTAGTTTTTTGTAGGTGCAGGAATAGTAGTGTCATTTGGTATACTGATCCTTTCTGACCTTACAGTAGAAACCAAACCTTGGATTTTATTCAGAAAAGGAGAAATGGGTCTTTTCATCAAGGCAACTCCCTCTTCTCCAAGTCATTTACATCACAGATAAATTTTAACCTCCCAGTAACTGAAGGATTTGTTTCCTACCATCATTGGAGACCTTCATCTCTCTCCACGATAAGGTTGCAGAAATGGGAAGAACTACCTATGGTTGCTTTTGATTTCCCTTAGGAAGTGAGACAGTGTGTTTGAAAATACGCATTTTCCCCATTTCTCTGTCTCCTTTCCTGACATTTCTCTGGGCTGCACAGCAGAACCATTGGTAAAAGGGCGGTTTGGTATCAACACAGCAGACTGATCTGGGATCCCTTAACCATTTCAGTCAAACAGCCCTGATCTAGGCTGTAGTTGAGTTCAGGCTCCCCACCTTTCCTGGGAACTGCAAATGGAGTGTTCAGCCAGCAGCCTCCTAAACCCACCTTCTTCCCCCATTAGCCTAGAACACCCATTCTGCGTGCTCTCCAGGCTGTGTCATTGGAAGGGCTTCACATGCAGGAGGCCTCCCTCAGGCGAGCCCAGGTTAAACTGTTGAGTTGTGCCTTCAACAAATATGTATGGCGTGCTTGGATGTGCCAGGTGCCTGCATTGTGCCAGATGCTGGTGAGGTAGTGAGGAGCAGGGCAGCTGAAGTCTTAACATCAAGCAGCCTTCATTCTCATGCATGCAGGTTTCCGTTGCTCTATCCCAAACACTTGTGTGCCAGAGACGCCACAACTTCATGTCCCCTGTCTCTTGGAAGCTCCCCATGCTCCCAGTGCTCCCAGTGTTTCATACCTTGGATGTGGTACCACCAGCCCAGTGGCCGTGGTCAACTTAGGCTCTCTTCCTCAGTGGACAAGGGTGTGTTTAGGGTTTATTTTATGTAAAACAAAAAAACTCTGAGACCATGAGTGGGGCTGGCTTCTTGCCAGCCTGGGCTTCAGGGATGTTTGCTGGGGGGCTGATTAGAGGGTAGTTGTAGGGTACTTTGTCACCCCCTCCCCACCAGCCTCCCTGCCGTGTTTATTTCATAGCAGAGCCAAGTCTTTGGCAGATTGACACAAACTGTGTTGCCAGAGCTGAAATAATTCCACTTCATCCTATGAGCTTGTTGGGCTAGCTTGTTCTAATTTTGGCCACTTTGGCTTTTTTCTTCAGTTTTATGCATTCTCTCCTGACCCAAAGTGCCAAGCCATTTGTGAAGGCTCTGCCAGACACCTCCAAGCTTCAGAGCGCAGCACCATGCACTAAGAACAGGAGAAAAGACATAACCTACCTCAGCAATTGTGGCCTCTCAACAGCCCTGGCTAGCTTGTATTTGTGGGGAAGCCAACAGACGCAGTGGGAGGGCAGGGAGGTGGCGCTGGTGGACCAAGGATCCGTGCTGCCAGTTCCCCCTCCTTGCAGGTGCAGTGATGGGAGTTATTTTTACCATCTGGGCTCTGATAGCTACACTATTAATAAATTGCATGTGCTCCTTTTGAAGGTAGGGGATGGTTCTGGGCGAAAGGGGAGCAGACTGAACCAGGAGGGGAGCTGCCCCTCCTCCCTTTTGAGTCAATTCTAATCCTATGTGTGTCTGGACCCAGACCAAAATGGTTGCTGAGACACTTGTCTGTCCATGTCCCAAGGCATAATTTCCCAACATTTAAGAAACTCCGGTAGACACCTCTTCCCTGGCCACCTTCACAGATGCTTCTCTTGACCGGAAACCCTGGGACCCTAAGAATTCCTGAAGCTTGGGGTGGGTGTGTGCTTCTGGGGTCTCTTTCAGGACCTCCTTCCCTAGTACCCCTTGACCTTTTTTCCTAAGCAGCTAATAAGGGGTTGGGTGATAGAATCCCAAGATTCCACATTGAAAATCTTCCATGGATGCTTTAATCGAAAGTGGGTTGCCGACCCCCTTGTTCCTAAAGGCTTCGGCTTGGGTTTCCTTTGTATGCTTCAGCCTTCCTAGTTGGTTTTTCCTAGGCCCAACATGAGAGGTAGGGAGGTCTGCACGTAATTAATTATCTTGCCTAAGGGCCTCTGGCACAAATGGACAGACTTCAATTCTTGATGTTCTAAAGCCTTTGTCCTCTAACAGAGGGAGCGCTGAAAGCTTGTGAGTGAAGTCGGTGGAGTGGTCTTCCTCTGCCTTCCGAGCTAATGGCTCTTTTCCTCAGGAATAGACTTTAGGGATTATTGCAGGATTAGTCGTTGTCAGATGACTGGAAAACCTAAATAAGATCCCTCTCCAGCCCAAGGTTGCCCCAGTGAGGAAGACTACCAACTTCTCACTACCCCACTTCTCCCATGAGTGTTAGCTTCACCTCACAAAGGCTGAAGACCAGTTCCCCCAGTGAGAGCTGCCTCACTCTTACTGAGTTCCCTGGATGAGCAGAGCCATGAAGAAGAGGGCTGGGATTTGCACCCTCCAGGTAGCCTTCCGTGCTCAGCAACCCTGAAGAGTTTTGGTCCCAAGCAGATAGTGAGTGAGTGAGTGAGTCTGTGTGTGTGTGTGTGTGTGTGTGAATAAGTGCCTTACTTTGCTATGTGGTTTTCACTTGTACTCTGTGGCCAGCCCCTAGCTGCCAGGGCTCTAGGGCTGTTTGTCACAAGCAGCCAAGGACACCATACCTCAGTAGAGTTAAATATAAAAGGGACACAGATTGTGACAGTTTTGCCTCATTTGTTTCAAACTTGCTGCCCAGCATTAGGGTCTGTGGTGTGTTCTCTGTTTTGTTTTGGTTTCTCCCTTGTGTCAGTTCTCTTCTGGCCCAGCTGGGTGACTGTGGAAGTCAGTGAGGTGGCCCAACCACAAGCATACCTATTAAGGGAAGCCCAGAGCTTCCAGCTCCCACCTTGAAAACTTCCCTCTGGCCCCACATAGCAAGCCCTGCCTCTCCGCATCTCCATTATTTTCTCCACCCCTAGATTTTTTTTTAAAGGCACGCTTACCATAACCTCCTGGTCTGTTTCACTTCCCATTCAATCCAAAGTTTATATGATAAAGGTGTTTACTTTTACTTCCCAGTCTCAAGTGCTAACACATACATGTCTATTGCAGAACTGTTCGAGCTCTTAATTCAGTGTTACCTTGTGTTAGTCGCAGCAACCCTCTTGCCTGCCCACCTTTTTCTCGCTCTTCCGGGTTGTGCAATAACTCTCCCCGCCAGTGGTCCTTTCCACAGCCTTTCTGTCCCTTAAAACGCCCTGCAACTGGGGGAGAAATGGGACCCGTGGGAGGGGTAGTCATCATCCCTTATAGAAGAAATAGTAGTCGCTTTCCTTTTGTTGCCGTCATTCTCGTGGTCCCGGGTGGGTTTCTGTGGCACTCTCGTGGAACATGTAGCATCATCTTAGAAGTCTATTATTAAAAAAATCTGTTGAAGAGGAAAAAACCATCCTCATGATGGGGCTCAAGTCATTGTCCAGGAATAAGATCTGTTGTGGTGCCCATGACATCACCGTCACTCTGCCTTAAAGCATTCCAGAGCTTCTTGTTCATGGGGAGAGGAAGGATA